CCCCAAAACCCCAAAACCCCAAAACCCCATAAAACTGAGCTAAAACATTTAGGGAGGTTTAAATTTGAAATTAAATTTGAATAAGCAAGAGAAAAGAGAAATGGAGTCTTCAAATAGTCCACCAAACCTGTCATCTGCCTCAGTTCTAGAGCAGCTTGGCTTTCAACAATAACAACTAATTCTAAATCATCAATTGAATCGCATAAGAAATTAAGCCAGTAATTATATTGGCATGGTTTAAAATGTAGCAGGTCAGAGATAGTCCACTACTCATACTCAAAATTAAAGAATGTAAGCAACATTTACTTTTAATTTGCCAAAAATTACTCGGCTAATCAAATATCTAATGACTTAAAAATTAGGTAGAGAAATAATTCACCCCCAATGACTTATATGATGATGGATGCGGACGATGATCACTATTAAAGATAAATCAGAGATCGCAGTATTTCACCTGCTTATGCTCCCTCATCAAATAACCCAGGCAGCAATAATAGCAACAATAATAATAACTTGAATACTCATTAAATCAATCACTCATCCTCTGAGCAATCTTCGATTAATGAACATATATCGACTAGTCAAGCAATTATTAATGAAAATTCAGCTAATTTAGAAGAAATATTTAAGTGCTTGATATGCTTTAACAAAGTCAACGGTGCTGTGATGTGCCCTCATTGCTCTAAATTGTGCTGCAGGGATTGTATTAAGGTAATTTAAATTTGTCTTAAATCAATCATCATAGAAATGGCTAAATGAGTAGAGACAATAATGCCCACATTGTAGAAGTAGTTTAAGAGTAAATCAATTGGTAAATTGTAGATTTGTAGAAGAAGTCACAGCTGCAATAGATACTCTATAGTCCAACAAACAATAAATATCTAAGTAAAAATAAGAGATTTGCAAATAACATGATACCGCTCTAAATTATTACTGCAATACCTGCAAGAAACCTATATGTAGCGATTGCGCAATGTTTGGAGAAGATCATAAGCAGCATCAATTTGAGAAATTAAGTGTGGTATATGAGAGACACGTTGAACTAATCAGAAAAGAAGCTGATGGTTTAAGGAAAAGATTGAAGGAGTTAACACATTATATTTCTGAGGTTCAAACTACTATTGAAAAGGTAACAAAAGCAAAAGATGAGAAATAAAAAGAAATTGAGTTATTTGTGGAAAATATACAAGCGAAGCTCAACCAGTAATTAAAGAGTAAATTGCTGACATTATTGCAATAAAAAGGTGCAATGGCTGATGAAATGGAGTCGCTAGAAGATTTCCATCATAAACTTAACCAGTAATTTTTAATCTATTAAATCTTTTTAGAGAGTTATGTAAGTAAGCCTAGTCACATCTGATAGCGAAATCTCATGACCTGGTCAAGTAGCTAAGAGAAATACATAATAAGCCAACATCTAAATTTGTTGCAAATTCAGTATCAACAGAGTTTCCATCTGAACTTGTTCCTAACTATGACTCATCGCTGTTTGTCATAAAAGATTTCAGCAGAATTAGACATACTCATGAAGTTGTTTACTCTGAACCATTATTAACAAATGGATTGACTTGGAGACTTAAAGTCTATCCAAATGGCAATGGTATTGCAAAAGGAAACTACATATCAATATTCTTAGAGATGCTGAAGGGTCTATCTGAAACATCTAAATACGAATATAGAGTAGAGATGATCAACAGTAAAGAAACTTCATAGTAGGTTTTAAGAGAATTTTCATCAGATTTCGAAGTCGGCGAATGCTGGGGATATAATAGATTTTACAGAATCGATCTTCTTGAAAGAGAGGGCTATTTATCTGATGATGACAAAATCACTCTGAAGTATTATGTAAGAGCACCTACATATGCTCAATAATCCAGAGATCAAAGAAAGTACATTGAAACTCTAGAACTTTAATAAAAATAAATGTAGTCCTCTCTTAATGAGATGAATTCTAAATACAACGAAGCTGTTAATAAAAATCATCATAAATCTCATAAGAGACCAAACAACCTTAAGAAAATTCTCTAGGTTCCAAATGCAATGGCTTAAGTCAAAAGAGATCAATCATCTGATGAAGTAAATGCTTAACAAGAAGAGAGCTAATTTGCGCTAGTCTCTTAGTAATTAGTTTAAGAGGAGCAAAAGCAAGGCAATATTTAACAATAGCAACAGGTTGAAGATCTAAAACTGTAGACCTAGCCATCTCTTAAGTATTAGAAATCTTCTGGTTTCGAATCAGACCAAAGATTTAGTGTAGTAAATTAACATAGAGAAAACCCAAGAAAAACAAGCCTATTGATTGATGCAGAATAAGATTTTTCAAGCGATCGTAATGATTCAGATGAAGAAGAGGAGGATATTGAAAATGATTAACATCTTGAAGAAGATCATAACGAGGAACATGATTAGACTCACTAAATAGAACATGAAGAGGAGGAAGAAGATGAGGAAGGAGATATTCATCAAGAAGAGGAAGAGAATATAGTATAAAGCAGTAAAAGCAACAGACAGAGAGTAGAATGGAGTCCTAAATAATATAGCGTAAGCTCTAATAACGATGATGATGAGATCTAAAATGATGTTGATAACGACAACGATAATGAACACTAAGAGAACCTCTACTCAGAGAATAACAACTACAATGAAGATCAGCAAAGCGATGAAGATGAAGAGGATGACGATGAGCATTATAGAAACCAAGAGGATTATTTGATAAAAACAAGTAAAAGCAAGGATCATGACGATATTAGCGTTCTTAGAGAGATACTTAATGGTAGCACTTCAAATAACAACAAGGAGACTAAAATTAATGTTCAGAAATACTAAAAACTATCGTCAAACTTAGTTGATGATTTCAGGAACTATCTGAGTGGAGACAGTGATAGTGATTAAGATATTGATATTTAAACGCTGAATGAGATGAGACAACAAAAAGGCCTTAAAAACTTGAGATACGAAAACTAGCTATAACTTACACAAAATGAGTTTGATGATGACACTTAAACTTATAATTCACTCGTATCAAGCACAAATAACCATAATGAGAATACTGAGTAAGTATTGAGTCAGAATATTCTCGAGGAGTTATAATGATTTAGCTGC